TATAAATGTGTGCGTATATATATATATATATATATATATATATATATATATATATAATGTGTTCGTGTGTAAAGAGAGAAAGAGAGAGAGAGAGAGAGAGAGAGAGAAAGAATTAATATAAGTAAAAGTTTGTCACTTAGCTGATTGATGCTATCTTCAGCATTCCGGCACCGGAATTTCGTAGACGAACCTGTCCGTCCACCCTTCAGGGGATATCAGCAATTTACTGCTTATATTTTCCGGTTTTTCTATGTTGTCCACTTATCATTGGTGTTATTTGTTTTTCGGTATTGTTTGTGTTCGTGTGTGCGTTTGCGCACGTGCGGCCATGCGCTCGTCTATGCGGATGTGCGTTCATGCGCGTGCGCCCGTCTGCGCGGATGTGCTTACGTGTAAAGAGTCGTGATCGTTTGTTCATTTGCTCGTTTTTTTTTTTTTTAAATTTACACTCGCTCCTTAGCTTTTCTCCCTTTCCAAATTTTCTTTCGAGAGCTGCCACTTGTGGCTAATTATTATGTTCTCTAGACATGTCATGGTTTTCATTTATTGCGGGGAATAGGGAACTTGTATTTATTTTTTTGGGGGGGGAGACTAGGAAGTTGTATTTCGTTTTGTGCATAAATGATTGATATTAATGCTTAAATGATAAATACTTTTATATATTCACTAGACTATTATTTCGTTTTCTTATCTGGTTCAGTAGTCTTAAGTATGTAAGAATTTAGATTTAAACTTAATTTTTTATTTATTGCTGTTTAAATTGATATACAGACGTATGTATTTATACGCACACATGCACATGCCCATTCATGTATGAAACGTATATACATATATGCACGTATACAATATGTAGATATAAACGCGTGTACACAGGCACATGTACACTTACGTATGTGCTACGTTATTATTAAATAGTGAGGTTATTTTTAATTATGGTTGGCTGAGTTTATAGAATATTTTCTTTGTTGTTTGAATATATATATATATATACATATATATATATATATATATACATATATATATATATATATATATATATATGTATATACAAATAAATATATCCATATATATATATATATATATATACGTATATACATACATATATATATGCATATATGCATATACATATATGCATATACATATATATACATACACATATATATATATATAGCCATATATGTATATATACGTATATATATATATATATATATAGGTATATACAAATACATATATATGTATCTATACATATATATATATATATATATATATATATATATATATATATACATATATGCATATATATACATATATATGCATATATATACACATATATATTCACATATATATATATACGTATATATATATATGTATATATATATATATACATATATATATATATATATATATGGATATATATATACACATATGTATATGTATATATATATATATATACGTATATATATGTATATATATGGATATATATATATGGATATATATATATGGATATATATATGGCTATATATACATTTATATATGTATATATACATATATATACTTGCATATATATACATATATGTTTATATATACATACACACACACACACATACACACATATACACACACACACACACACATATATATATATATATATAAAGAAAGAACAATAAGATATATAACCCGGTGTTCTTATAGATATTTTTATTTTTACAAAATAGTGCTCAATGTAAATTTACAGAGCATTAATATTATAAATTAACTGATCTAAAATAAGTTTTTTTCGAGTTGAAGCAATCGGATGTCTAGCCACACTGATGTGATACAATGAAACAGTTTTGTTTTTGGATGACTATATATATATATATATATATATATATATATATATATATATTATATATATATATATATTAGGTACCTCCATTAGTTCGCTAACAAGGGATTACCGAGTGTTAGTTCCTTCCTCAATATTAAGTATTATAATAAAAGAAATATAAAAATGATTTTAAAACTTTCCTTTCCTCTCTAAACTCGACCATGTCTCTCGCACTATTCCTCGCCAACCTTTATGTCAAATTATATAAGATTAATACTACCGGTCAAAAGTGAAAATTTTTAATTCATTTTAGATTCAGAGAAAAATAAAATTCTCTTGTGAAATAAATTATTACAAATGGAGCCTTAAAGTGGTCTGTTTTTCTTTAAATTAATAATATATATATATATATATATATATATATATATATATATATATGAAGAAATATAGTCTTAAGGTGTGCTATATTTATGGAATAAAGTGCTCAATATCAGAGATAGAGCGTGTGTAAATATGAAAGTGAACATAGAAGTCAACACTTAGAGGCGACAGTCTGTTTCATGCTATATGCAATCGACAGGCCTGACGATTGCATATAGCATGAAACAGACTGTCGCCTCTCTCTCTCTCTCTCTCTCTCTCTCTCTCTATATATATATATATATATATATATATATATATATATATATATATATATATATATATATATTAGGTACCTCCATTAGTTCGCTATATCTAAGTAAGGTATTTTTCATAAATAATAAATTTTTTTCGAAGCTTTCCCTAAGTTTCTGTTGAAAGCTAAAGTACTGAATTTTCTAATTCCTGAAACCAAATACTGTGGTGTATTTCAAATAGAAATTATAATGATTTTTAGTTGATTCTTCAGAAAAACCAATCGAATTCGCTATTTTAAATTTTTTGACAGGAATGTAAACAAAACTTAATTCTCCGTTTCCAAAAGCCCGCAAAAATAAAATATACATTTCTGAAACGTTATTTTTCGTAAAATTAGCAGATTTAAAATTAAATTAAACTTTTTTCAATAAATATTACTTATTTAGGGCATAAAATTTTCTGTACAAGAATTTATTGACGACAGGATCTTGTTTTTCTAACGAATGAGATGACAGGTTAAATATGGTGAACCAGAATTGGCATAAATTTACGAATACTATGTAAGAACTTTTTTTTTGTTTTGTTTTTTAACTACCAGTTAATGTTTAACAACAAAATATATTAAGCAATTATCAAATATTTTACTGAATTTGTTTAAGTAATTTTGAAGATGCTTTCTTATAATAATTCAAAATACCATAAAAATTTCTTAAATTATTGAGGTACCTCTATAATAGTATTTCATTATTTAATAACTAAGATAATATGATAAAATATTTTATTAATTATAATATCAGTTATTATATTTTTAATTTAATAACTGAGATATAATAAATAATAAAATTATTAATTATTATATTAATATTTAAATTATATCACTCTCATTTATTAAAATCTTAAATTGATAACTTAGATATAATAATTTTTATTAATATTATGTCACTAATTTAATTTTTAATTTAATAACTGAGATAATAATTAGTAAAATTGTTTAAATACTTAAATATTTAATTTTTGTCTATAAAAATAACGTATAAACAAAATGTATTAAAATAATTGTCGGACTTTCATTTCATCCTCAGGCGAATTTTGGAGTAACATATTTTTAAATTTACTGGGTTTTAAAGGCACGGCAAAAATCATAATTTACAGTTTCCAAGGACACAGAGAAATCCATTCATCCAGACAAGGGCTGGTTGCGTGTTCATTTTATTAACTTTTGTTGTATCAGTTATTAGTTACGTTTGAAAAAGGGTTACGTTTAGGTAGGGGTAGGGATGTATTTTTCAACGAATTCTGACATCCGTTAAATGCATGTCGCTTTATATATATATATATATATATATATATATATATATATATACACACATACGAGGGAATATCCGAAACTAATACCTCCAGTTTATTACCACGGAAACTACAAGGGATACACGGATCTCACAATAGTACCATTAGATAGAACAAGTTTTCAGTTCTCAAAACATTATTTTTGCACCTCTAATAGTAGTGCAGGGCTATCCGAGATAGGGTTGGTCATATACATCATTACTGAAACGTATTATGCACCGCTTAACTGTGCTCGTATCCATTATTTAGTCTCAGTAAAGTAAATGTCCAGTAGGCAATCGGTATTATTTTTATTTTCCATCCCCTTACTGCTCCAGAAAGTACCTGACTCACTCTATGTTTAAAAGAATCAGATCAGACCAAAAATGGAATATTGCAGTCACATCTTGGCCAAAACTGCCTCATCTTCACTTCCCAGCTTCGACCGAGTTCAAAAGCATTTGCGTGGCCTTGTGGGTGATGGATTTCTTAGTATCCTTCAATCCCTTTTCCATAAGCAAATCGTTGCTAGCTTCTCGCTAATCTGTCACTATTTTCATGGCAAATATTCGTTTACTCATCTTCATTCCCTTCATATTCCATTGGTAAAGAGGAAGTTCCACTCAGCTTCTTCACGAGAACTGTCACTTTGTGGAACAGAATCCCGAGAGGATTCTTTCACTCGACCACTACAATCTTAATCTTTTCAAGTCGAAGCTCAACTATTATCTATCCTACATATCCTCATAATATGCAACTCTTGCTCCATCCCTATACGCTCTTACAACATCCCCATTTAGTAAGCCTCTACCTTGAGTGTCACTTAGGCCTTGCATCGGGTGAACAATATTAAAAATCATGGAAAATGAAAATAAATTCTTCATGACAAATCTTGGCTTCTATTTTCATGTCACACGTCATTTTGCTAGGCTGCTGTCAAGATGATATTTGTAAAAAAAAAAAAAAAAAAAAAAATGTAAATGTTAATGGATTATTAACAGGAAGGTTCAACCAGTATTCTCATTTCATGAAAATTCAGTTCGGGTGTCTTCGTGTCATAGCAAACTGAAATCGATATTTTCGAAGCGAAACAAATTGACAATGAAAAACAATTGTTTTTTTAATTAAAATAAATCCTTTTCTGTATTAACGAATGAATGCTGCCTATGTACGCATTACTCTCTCTCTCTCTCTCTCTATCTATCTATCTATCTATCTATCTATCTATCTATATATATATATATATATATATATATATATATATATATATATATATATATATATATATATATATATAAATAAAACAAACCACTTTAAGGTTCCATGTAACAAATTATTTCACCACAGCCCTTTTAAAGCACTGGGATCATCAGACTTTACTTCCAAAGGTTGAAACAAAAAAATGAAAAGAAATTTATACATTTTCGACGGGCCATATTAAGCATATGTAAATTAACGAAGTGAGGTAGTGAGGGGGGTAGAGAGAAGACATGAGTGAGTTAATGTGTCATTGTCTGCTAACTATATATACCCAATATATACCCATTCAGGCCGGTAAATGTTGTTAATACTGTTTATTATAAACAGAGCATTTACTTAAATATTTCTATCTATAAAAAGAATGTATAAAGATAAAAATGTCTTAATATATATATATATATATATATATATATATATATATATGTGTGTGTGTGTGTGTGTGTGTGTGTGTGTGTATGTATATGTATACACCCAACTCATACGGGTACAAGTCTTGTGCCCGACGAGTTGGGTAACCAATGAAACTTAAGTCGCGCCCCAAATGTAGATATATGTATATTTATTAATATATATTTCCTGGCTCTGTTTAACCACATCGAGCACTATTATGTCTACACTTCTTGGCAAAATTTAGTAATTATTAATTTTCTTACCACTGTAAACAAGCCAGCACGCGCGTATACAGTTGCTTACATTTAGTTATTTTATTTTCCTAAACATATATATATATATATATCACTCCCGATATTTTTTTTTCAATATTTCAGTTGAACCCTCTGACTTAACAGGTGTTTGGAAAAGTTCCAGGGGTGCATTTTTGAAGATTGAAGAATTACCAAGTGAAGAACTCTCTGCCGTCTTGTTCTTAAAATCTAAGGGGTTCTTTAACTTAACCGGTGAGAGAAATCACTTTCATTTTTCCCTTACGAAAGATCACATTCGAATTTGAAACTTTAGGCCTGATTGACTATTTCTATTTTACACACACACACACACACACACACACACACACACACACACACACACACACACACACAGGCTGCGATGGGTAAACTGTCGTCATTTGATATTTTTAATTTCGACTGCACATTACAGTAGGGTCAGTTGGGCACTGCCTGTGAGAAAAAGACGCAATTAACTCATCCAGGAATTTAAAAAAAATATGCTGTACTGCTTGGCGTTCACGTCGGAAGCTCCAATACGAACATTTCAGAGAGTTTGGATGCCAATCTGAGGATAGTACTGAGGATTCGGAAAGAGTTGAATGAGTCTGATAGTGATTACGAAGGTACGGCAGCTCGAAAAACTCACTCTGATCGTTCTGATAAGAAAAGAACTCCCGAATTTGTTGGTGAGGGTCTTAGACTCAACATGGAGGCCTACATCAAATTCCTTGAGGAGGTAGTGCTGCCCTAGGTCAAGAGGGTGGCTGCTGGAAGACCCTATGTCTGGCAATAGGACTCTGTACCATACCACATGAATAGGAGAACCCAGTTATGGCTGTCAGTCAATTTCTGCGACCACATCACCACTTACATCTGGCCACCTAACTCTTCAGATTGCAACCCCCTTAATTCTTATGTGAGGGCAACAGAGCAACAAAATCCTCGTAACAACAAAGATGAACTGAAGGCAAGGACGTCAGCATTCACAAACTTAAACAAGGAGACTGTCCAGAAGAGTCCCAGGAGATTCTGAAGTCATCTGGAGGCCATGGTTGAAGTCAATGGCGATTTTATTGAATAAATTTACTCTTTAGTATTTCAAGATATTTTTATGTAATTTTGGTAAATGTATCTGTTAAAACGAGATGTCAATGTTATTTGCATTTTTGTGTAAATTTGGGAAAATACTAAGTAATTTAATGTTTTATTAAATTTTAAGCATTTTAGCTTTAAATTTATTCTAGTTAACGCTCTCATTTTCTGATAAATGTCATATGTGGACGTCAGTATTTATAAAAATCGGCACATTTTTACGTACACAAAAAATTCAAAATTCTTCTTTAAAATACCAGGAGTCACTGCATTGTAATAAGCTTTTCCATTTATGATTAGTGAATATAGTATTTAATTAATAACAATATCACATAACCTCTACGAAGTAGGACAGAATTTTAAAAGATTTAAAACTTTATAAATTATAATTAAAATTTGAATAAATGAAAACAATTCTTGTAAAAAATCATCATTTATTGAAAACAAAATTTTTTTAAAACATTAGCGTCCATAATATATCTCATTCATAAAACCAATTAAAAGCTTTTCTAATTAAATAATGTCTTACTTGCATTGCAATTTTTTATTTTATGATTCAGAGCAGATTTTCTGTAATTGGAGGTTTAGCAACCCCCATTTCAATTTCAAACATTTTCTTGAATTTCATTGGTTGTTAAATATAAAATAAGCTTCAAGAAATTTCCATAACAAAACAATCAAATTTTGTGCCGACGTAAAAAAATAGAAAAGGCGAACGAATTTTCGTCGCAATTGAGATTCACACACGCGAAAGATACACACGGAAATTATGTGTCAAATAGCCACCAAAGAAACAAATTTCCTTTATGAGAGATCAGAAAATTTTACACAACAAACTTTTTCACACAATATCTTTCATAGAAAAGAAAACTTTTGTATAAATTCAACCTTTTTCAAAAGCAAACAACTTTTTCGACATTGAACATTTCCAAACAGCAAACAACTTTTTCTCTTATACTTTTGCACACATCATTACAAATTGTAAATTGTTTATATAAAATTCAATTTGTTGTTTCAAATATGTATTTTTTTTTCATGATTGAATATCGTTACCTTTTGGCCATTTCTTATAATATATGTTTGTGGATATTGCATATTTTATTTGCAGCACCACTACAGTGATCTTGTTTTGCAAAAAAAAAATTGATAAGTTATAACTAATATGAACATTAAACTGTACAAAAATGAACTTCTCGAAATTTCATAGAATTAGAAAGACAGGAGTAACAGACGTAAAAAAATATTTTTACTGACATTTTCTAAAAATGCATTTTTAAAATAATCTAATTCATTTGTGAATAAGTCTTGAACGTTTCATTAAAATTCCATAATTATTTGATTTTTGCAAGAATGTCCAAAGCAATGTGTTTTTCACCACAAAAAGACGTTAAAAGTTTCTATCCTAATTTATGGTGCCAAGCTGATGCAAACAAAGCAAAATTAACTAAAATTTTAAAGGCTCTCGAAAGGATTAAAAAAATATAATTTAATAATTAAAAATAATTTGATCTGTCCTCTTAATAATAACAAAGATTTTGACAATAAATCTTTGTTTCTATTGAGATTGGGGCATTTATTCATCATCTATACTCAAATGTAGAACAGCTTTGGAGGTACAACTTTTTATTATATACATATCAAAAAAGTTTTATTAAATTTAACTGACAAGGTATGGCTCTAATTTTTATTGTATGTTATCAATTTTTCAATACACTGGCCATAGATTTGATTGTGACACATTTGGATCAGAATTGTGAATAAATAAAAAAAAAAACGAACAAAAATATGAACCATTGATTACAAATAATGTAAAACAACTGGGGCACCTCGAGGTAGTGTAATGGTTAGCAAGCTTGTCTTACAAGAACAATTACGACTGAGTAGTGAGTTCGATCCTCACAAGGTGTCCCTTACTTTCGGCCTTGTGCCACATCTAAGCTACGGTTGGAAAATCGCAATAATTTAAAACAATTGACCTCTGTTGGAGATTTATTGGAAAGACCTTACTACACGGCAGCTGAGATTTTTAAATAAAACATTCTGAGGATTTGGGCGGAAGACTTGCTTTTAAATGCTGGTGACTTGTGCCAACGTTGTTTCCAATAGGGACACCATTTGCTAAACAAAGAGGGTAATTTTTATATTTTGGGGACGTGGCTGGTCTACTTGGATAGGGAATAACAGAACGAAATTTAAGTTTTATGCTGACTTTCTTTTCAATAAAATACACCAATCTTGAGTTGTTTTTCTTTTTATTCTGATATCAGAAAATTTGTATGTCAAACAGGAATGAAATCTCCGGCTACGGAAAATGGAACATTTTACCTAAATACTGCACAATCCAGCTATACCGTCGGAATTGCAGGTGAGCATTTTTATTATTGAATGAGAGTGCGACATGCTAAGAAACCCGTACGAAACCCGTTTACCCATCATGACACCCAGTCATCAGGGACTACCAGGTACACGAATAACAGCCAAATGGTCACGATATGGGGACAAGCTTTGATAAAAGCATTTCATAAACTTGTAGGTGTGGTCCAGTTCGAAATAACTTCCAGTCCGCTCAAAGAGACTTTTTTTTAATCATTTCATACAAAGCGAGGCAATAAAGCTATTAAGATATAATGGGTTACTGAATGTGAAAGACCAAGAAAAATATTATTAAAAGGTAAAAACAATAAAAGAAGGGTAATCAAAAATAGAGTAGATAACAATTGACATTGCATTTAAATTCTTGAAGATCAAATTTGGCTGAAAAGTGAGAAGCCAGAAGATAGTTCCACAGGCGAGAAGTGCAAGAAAAGAAATTGTTACCATAGAACTTACGGTTATATCTAGACAGTTAAACTGGATAATGACATTGTAAGACCATGTTGCCAATCTAGTAGTGTGCTTAAATTTATAAAGTCTAGGTACCATAGAGGAATGTCCATCAGAACAATAACCATGAAAGTATTAATAGAAAAGGCAGAGGGAAGTTACATTACGGCGATGGGAAAGTGACTGAGAGCGAGATGCCAGGTCAGGACCAATAACATTGCAGATTCTTAATCAAGAATAGCTAAAAATCTAGCAGGAGAATCAGGAGCATATGTGGCAGCAATATTCGAAGCATAGACAACTGGTAAACATATAAATATGTAAGATAGATTCTGATGAGAAAAATTGTCTAACATAACACAGTGAACATACGTTCCTAGCAGCAGACATAGCAATTGATTCAATATAATCTTTCCACTTTCGAGAAAGTTTGCACAAGAAAGCGCAACGAGTAAATCTGCAGGTTAGCATCAGCCGTACAGATGGAAGACAGAAAGGGGTCATTCAGATGATTTAATAGACAGCAGTTTTGTTTTGGAGGTGTTAAAATTAAGAAACCATTCCTCACTCCAGTTACCCGCAGATTTTAGATCACCTTTGAGATCAGTTGCCAATATTGACCTTATTGAATCGATGATAATTATGGAGACAGGATTAAATAGTTGTGTCATCAGCATAGGTACCAAGTTGAGAACAGAAGCCGATTGAGGATGTTCGCAAGTATTCAGATGTGACTTCAAAGTTGTCTTGGTTAACTCCTCTTGACAACTGCCTCCACAACTTCCGCTAATGAAACAGAGATGCTCAGTGCGTCGGCGCCGAGCGGACATGTCTAACTGATTAAGGACAGGGAACCGACAAGGAAATCTGTGGTACTGAACAGAATATTTGCTTTAGCTATACGTTTGCTACTGTGACCTTAATATGTACAACCGGGCCCAGGGATTGAACTCACAATTACTTCTTTAGTTCTACTCGTTATCACTCACCCTGTTTCCACTGAGTCTGAATGTGTAATACTCAGCAAAGGGATTGAACTCACAATTACTTCTTTAGTTCTACTCGTTATCCCTCACCCTGTTTCCACTGAGTCTGAATGTGTAATACTCAGCAAAGGGATTGAACTCACAATTACTTCTTTAGTTTTTCTCTTTTGGGAAAGATATAAATCCCTCTCTTCTCCTCTCCCTATCTATGGACGTCCTTCGTCTAATTGCTTTAAGGCAGCTACTTATTTTGGAAAAGAACTTATCCGTATTCAATACCTCAACCTATGGGTAAATGTTTATAGCAGTCTGGGCTCTTTAATCTTGGTTGGCAACCAGTCTTATAGAAGAACAAATCTGAATTCAAAACTGCATGTGGTCCTGGCGAATCACATACTATGAAGTTTAGGAAAGGATCGTGGAATTCGCATTGCCTTGATAATCCCGACTACGATCAACTTCTGTTTCGTTTACCTTGTAAATAAACATTTAAGATCTTTTATCTGGGCTTGAACACGAACCATCGTCTTCGGAAGTATGTATGTTACTCTAAATAAATGCATACATTCGCTTATAAACTGGGTTTATTTGTATTCATTGATTTGAATTATTTTCCATAGGTCAGTTCTTGATATGCAACAATGGAATTGAACAGCTACAAGTCGCGCTTCTGCTGGGTATCAACGCAAATTGTGATTTCGACGTTTTCAGCCGTAATTCAATTCATACTTTCATCCGAGGTGATGAGTTCCTATGGTTCGAACTCGAATCTGAATGCTCATCGGAGGAAATTGACAATAACAATAATGTTAATGACGATAGAGAAATAATTGTAAGTTGTTTTTTTTATATATATTGGTGTTAAAAAAAACCTGTTTTAATTTCCTAATAAAATGCCATCGATTTTCACGGAATTAACGATTTATAAATATCAGTCTTCTTTTTCAATTGATTTTTACTTGGATTTAAATTTTAATCTTTTCTCATTTCTTAATTATATTTCAACAATTTATCTTCCATTTCTTCAAGCATTTTACATATTTATTTAAATTTTAATGAATTTCAATGAATATTAATGAAATATATTACATATTTATTCACATTTTAATGAATTTCAATGAATATTAATGAAATATTTTACATACTTATTCACATTTTAATGAATTTTAATGAATATTAATGAAATATTTTACATATTTATTTAAATTTTAATGAACTTCAATGAATATTAATGAAATATTTTAAATATTTATTTTGCATTTAATCGATTGATGATTTTTTCTTAATTTCCAGTAATGTCTGAATGTTTTCCTTATTTCTAAAATCAATTTTGTATTTTCTTTTTCATTATAAATCAAAGACTAATTCAAGTCAAGGTGAGTAAAAACTAAAAATCTTTGTTTTCTTAATTTTCCGTCGAGTTGTAATGTTCGTTGTACAGTAATAATGGCACAGTTAAAAATGGCACAGGTAAAATGGCACGGGTAAAAATGGCACAAGTGGGAAAATAGGAACAAATGGCACAAAGCAAAAACACACAGGAAAAATGAAATGCACACGTTATCTATTTAGTAAATTCTGAAAAAATATGTATAAATATCGAACCAGTAGGAACTCTCTAATCAGACGCCATTTGACTCCTTGTTCAGTTGTCATCAATGGCTCTATCACAACCCCATCATGGAAGTTATAGCAAGTAATAAAGGAAAAGAGAAGATTTGTTTCCAAGTGTACATGTATACAGAACAGATTGCATGATCAACTACGATCAGATAGAGATGTGTTAAGAGAACATTTGTTTTTGTAAAGGTACCATGAACACCAGCCTTGATATGACTGATTCCTGTATGTTTTTGCTTTGTACCATTTTTTCCTATTTTCCCACTTGCGACATTTTTCCCTGTGCCATTTCTCCTTGTGCCATAATTACCTAAATTAGCAATGTTCATTAGAATAATGGCTAACAGATTTAATTAAGGAGGAGTCGATTTCTTTGCAGTTTTACTATGCCAAATAAAATGCATGCAGAATCTATTCAAAATCATTCCTCTTCAGATGTAACAAAAAAAAAGCTTTTAAAACTAGCGTCGACATTTTCGAACGTGACGGACTGTCAAAATTAACCTTTTGACATATTAGAGAGGAAGTTATGCGCTTTATTCGTTTAAAAATTGACCGTTTTGATGTATGATTTACATATACAGTGTAAGGGGACACCTCGGCGTGGTGTAATGGTTAGCAAGCTTGGCTTGCTAGATCAGTTACTACTGAAAGTGAGTTCGATCCTCACTGGATGCCCCATACTTTCGGCCTTGTGTCACATCTAAGCTACGCTTAGAAAATCTCTACATATACAGTGAAAGAAAAATAAAATATAATCTACAAGACAATTTGGAAAACATCAATACAATAATTTTATTCCTCCCGAGACAAGAATTCAGCCGTTTAACATAAATCGTGTTTTTTTTTAATTATCATAATGCTTTATTTCCAATCAGCGTTATTTGATTTACGATCGCAGAATGATAACCTTGTAGTTTCGATAAAAAGCAACGGAAATAAGATGAAAGAAATAATTATCAAAAATGAATAATGACGATGTTACAAAAGACTTTATATATTTTTTCTTTTCGCTCAAAGCAATGCAATAAAGCCTCTAAGAAACAAGGGATTACCGAGTGTTAGTTCCTTCCTCAATATTAAGTATTATAATAAAAAGAAATATAAAAATGATTTTTAAAACTTTCCCTTTCCTCTCTAAACTCGACCATGTCTCTCGCACTATTCCTCGCCAACCTTTATGTCAAATTATATAAGATTAATACTACCGGTCAAAAGTGAAAATTTTTAATTCATTTTAGATTCAGAGAAAAATAAAATTCTCTTGTGAAATAAATTATTACAAATGGAGCCTTAAAGTGGTCTGTTTTTTTAAATTAATATATATATATATATATATATATATATATATATATATATATATATATATATATATGAAGAAATATAGTCTTAAGGTGTGCTATATTTATGGAATAAAGTGCTCAATATCAGAGATAGAGCGTGTGTAAATATGAAAGTGAACATAGAAGTCAACACTTAGAGGCGACAGTCTGTTTCATGCTATATGCAATCGACAGGCCTGACGATTGCATATAGCATGAAAACAGACTGTCTCTCTCTCTCTCTATATATATATATATATATATATATATATATATATATATATATATATATGTAAACAAATTATTGAAGATCAAATTTGAAAGGGGAGCAAAAAACCGGAAGAGAATTTCACAAGCAAGAAATGCGAGAGAAGAAATTATTAGCATAGAACCTACGGTTACATTTAGCCATTTCAACTGTAAAATATGAAGAACGTTATACAAAGAAAATTTCAGATCAAAATTAAGCCAGTAACTCTGTGTCATGGTGACAGACTTATGGATCTATCTTCATATCTTTACACTCAAACGTTTGCTAATCTTTGTTACAGAAGACCTTAATAGCCATAATTGTGATTATTATATGTTTTGCTATTGGGACCAGAATGCCCAGTTTAGTTATTTACATTATTTACACTCGGACGATTTTCTTCATTTTTATTGTTATTATCACGACGTTTCAGCCGTTATACCTTCCAGACTTCATCAGGTGCTTGTCGATCCAGATAAACATGAGATAGTTTCGAACTGAAAACTTTATTTAATCTACAGGAGTAAATTGGTCTTGGTCTGCTATACATGTCTAGTGATATATTATCTCGTCTTTATTTAGTACTGCTCAGTTATTGCTCACCCTGTTTCTACTAAGTCGAAAATAGCACTACCCAGCACAATTACTATGATACAAAATTCACGAAACAACGCTTAATCCAGTAATCTAATGATAACTCCTGATCCCATAAATAAAACGGAAACTCATTGTTGTTGTTATACATTTCAGCCGTTGTATTCGCCGGCCATCTTCAATTACCTAACTTCGTACTCATTAACATTTTTCAAATGTCAATCGAACCCTTTATTTAATCCTGTGGGCAGCAAGGTAGATTGGTGCCATTCTGCTTTCCATGCCTAGGGGAGATAACCCATGTCAGGGGAAGTAACTCATATCAGTTAAGGGAGGTAATGCATATCAGTAAATAATAACCAGTCATGTTCAGCGATGACCAGGAAACTAAATCAGTTTTTTTTTTTTTTTAACATATCACCCCAAGCAAGGCAGGAGTACCACTAGCACGCAGGGGTTATAGAGAGTGAGAGCAAGAGTAAAAAGGAGTGTTTGAGGAAAGGATATAGAGAAGGACGGAGATCAAGATCAAGACATCAGAAGAGGTCGATTGACATTACATTTGAATATTTGAAGATTATAGCTATCAGGGAAGCAAGTAAGAGGAAGTGAGTTCCCCTGTCGGAAGTGTCAGAGAAGAAACTGTTGGAGTAGAAGAGGTGGTTACATATAACTGTTTCGACAATGAAAGGGTGGGACCGAGTTGCCATCCTAGTAGAACGCTTAAATTCATGCAGTTTGGGAACCAGTTAAAGTAGCTCGTCAGAGCAGATGCCATGAAGATATTTGTAGAAAAGACAGAGGGAAGCCAAAGCACGTCTGTGAGAAAGTGACTGTAGACGAGATGCCAAATCAGGACCTATCACATTGCATACCTGTCTCTGGATTTTGTCGAGGACCTCGAGATGAACAGCGGGGGCACCAGACCATATATGACAGCAGCTTATTCAAATATCTTCGATCGAGAGCTCCAGGAAAGAAATAGTTTCAACAGCAGTACAAACAGCAGCAACTTTCGCAAAACTAAGAACCATCTGGAAGGGTAATAACATCTGTCAGAAATCAAAGATCTGTCTATTGCGTTCATTGGCCTTCTAAATGTTTCGACACGTGTGCAAATCTTCGACGTAAACAGCAGAATTACAGTGAAGAATGCAAGCATTCGAAATGAAGTTCGACATATTAGGTATTTCCTCGGTAGACCACATCACAAGTGACGCAGAGTGAGACACCATCACACAAGAGAGAGACCCATTGTAAGACCTCATAACCAAGGCCGGATTTAGATTTGTTGCGGGCCGGTGTATGCATTGAGAGATAAACACATGTGTCTCCTGAAATACCCACAATAAACATAGCGGACTCGAGGCGTGAGTCTACGTAAAGAAATGTAAAGAAACAGTGAGAACTAATATATATGCACGAACAAATGATAATGCATGTACAGTGTAACCCGGATGTAAGAGAGTTGTCGGGACCGGAGAAAAAGTCTCTTACATCCGGGTTTCTCTTATATCCGGGTTTGGTCTATTTTATATACATTAACACGGGCTCTAATTTGGGACCAGAGAAAATCTCTCTTATATCCGGGTTTCTCTTATATCCGGGTCTCTTATATCCGGGTTACACTGTATTAGTGAAACAAGGGTATACATAAACAATAGAATATCGTTGCGTGTTATTGAACAATGAACATGAATGAAGAAAAAAAATGAAACTAGTGAATTGTTTGTATATGCGTGGTTTAGTGTAGGAGAAAGTTCTAGAAAAAATAAAGTGAAAGATGCGTACATGCCTGCGCGTTCCCCAGTGGGAAAACGTTTTCCTCGTTTGATCTACACATTGCTGTCCCTGAGTGAAAAAAGAAAAAAAGAGGATGACAGAGAATGTCATTGACTATAGTTCTGAGGGCGTCTCTGAGTATCAGTTTCGAAAATTAGGAGGAGGTAACCCGACAAGATGAAGAGAAGCCCTAGGCTATTCCACTTGTGAGGCACCTCCAAATCCCCCATTCTCATGAGTAGAGGAAACTGGAAGAGTGTTAAATTAAACAATTTGAGTAAAGCCAAGGATGATGACAGGTGTTTAAAATTACTGAAGGGTTGTTTAGAGTCTACAATGTGTTACGAGGTCCTAGGCTTCAGCCTGCTAAGGCTATAGGCAAATCCGGCACTGCTCATAACCATAGTCAATAAGAGAAAGCTGAAATGGGATGGACACGTCATAAGAGCCAACAATCTATTACCATTCTACAAGGTTGCATAAAAGAATAAACTGTAAAAAGAGGAAAATGGGTGGACAACCGTCATTAGTTGGACTGAAAAATCTTTCACTGTCGCTAAGACAACCGAGATATGTGAAGAAAGCTGGTTAAGTGCTCATCTGTGAAGCCACCTTTCGGCCACACCCGGCAATGAGACTGATGATGAGGATGATTCTTTAACTGAAAAAAAAACCCCCAAAAACGACAAAAATTAACCTGAATACCAGCTTAGTTTACGGATGTAGTTTTTTTTAAAGATTTTATTTGAGTCTTGGACAGGACATGTGAGCAACGAGGAACTCTAAGGAAAATGGAAACAAAAAGAGAATTGTAGAATGAAAAAGGACAATTGTAGAATGAAAAAGGACAATTACAGAATAAAAAAGAGACAACTGAAATTTCTGAGAAGCAAAATAAGGAACGAGAGAAAATCTTCACAATGGTCGGAGAATTGACAAAGCGAAAGCAAAAGGGACAATGGAAAAAGAGTAAGTAACCTTACGAGCTTGTGTAAATGGATAGCTCAAGAGGAACTACAAAGGACAGGAAGCTGTAGAGAGTCATGATAACCCAACTTCTGAAAAGCCACTGCACATAAAAGAAAAGAAATCTTACCACTTTGTTCATCTAACGCACATTCCAGTATTGTTTCGTAGCCATTATAGTCTAATCACATAGGAGATGATGTAATGTCTTTTCCTGCAATTAAAAAAATACATCATTTCTAAATGAGAATGAACAGTTGTTTGGTTTGGTTTATTTTGTTTTACGGTATATCAACCTCAATGGGTTATTTAATTCCGGCAAGATTTTTAGGATAGGTTCCTATGAATAGAATATGTATTAATATATTTTTTTCAAAAGTGGTAATTTTAATATTATACTTCATAATGTTTTGACTCCAATTTTGGGGGTTAACTATTTGCCCATAGCTGATAACCTAACAGGTACTATCTTCCCGGGTCAGGGTGGACCTGGGAACAACAATCTCAAATCTCCCGATGAGAAGCCTTTCTGCCGGATGTAGTTTATCCTCATACCCAGGACGAATGAATGGCTGTTCTTTGAAGCAAAAACAGAACATATCGGTCAAAAAATATGTGATAAAAACAACAAAGATGGGGAGACTGGTTTGAATAATTTGTGGAATAAGGAAAAAGGATTTTTTATTTGTTGGTCTATATTTAATTTTTTTAAAAATTAATTGCTTAAAATCTTTTTATTACATTTTTTAACATTTCTTAAAATTAATTTTTTTATATATTTTAAAATCTACACTGATGTATTCCATATAAAGGGTCCTCTTTGATGTAAATTTGTTATTAAAAGACTGTAAGTTGAGCGCACGAGTAAATGATTTCAGCCATGAGACCTGGGTTCGAATCTGACAATTGTCGATTTGTCGAGGTGACCTTTATTGGCCTGTGGAGAGGATTCCAGTGTGACGTACTGTCGAAAACCATACCCCACTAGTGATCACGCCAAATTATGCGCTTCTAGAAACTGTAACTATAGTTCCAGCATACACAACAGTTTGGCCCTGTGTTGAACAAACAAAAATATGTCTGAGTTGGCATCTGTAACAGGGATTAGGTAGTCACAATAGCAGATAGGCATACTCGGAAAGGAGCAGCGAGTCATTCTATTAATAGGCCATTACTCTTAAGCCAACAACTTACATTTTCTTTCTTTTTTATGTGCCGTGTTCCTTCAGGACGTAGGCAATCATGGCCATTCACATCTCCCTATCTCTTGGAGCTCTCAATAAGTTTCATTCCTCTGCCACCTACCCCCCACCCCACCCCCGAACACGCTCTGTTATTCACTTGTTTAAGCCAGCTAGGTATGTCATGCGTTGGTTTCCCTTGTCTCACTTCCCTCTATTCGACCAGTGAGTATCAGATTCTCCAAGCCCTCCTTTTTCATGTCCTAGAAATTTCAGCTGTCTCTTCCTGATGTTAAGTATAAGCCTCCTCCTTGTTTGCATCCTCTCCAAAACCACATCGCTGCTCGTCCATGATATCCTAAGCACTTACACTACTAAATGTTAACTGGTTTTGGACCAACGGCTGAGGATGAATGCAAATATTTATCACCTACAGACCTGAGTGAATATTAATGCAGCTGAATCCTTTCATTAATTTTTATTTATTTATTTTTAATTTCAGAAGAGAACTGTACTTTATCTGGTTTCTGGATTAATGAATATAATTCGACAATGAATTTGACAGTGGACGACACGAGAAAACTAACAGGTTTGTTATATTTTATTGACAATATTGAATTACTTTTCATCGTAAGAGAGAAGTGCCAACGTGTGATAGTTTATCCAAATTATCTTAAACTTTGTTGCTGGCTCATGTTTTCTCAGATCAATTCTCTAGCCTGTACACAGTAGTCAGGCACAAAGTGAAAATGATGCCTTCAGTTAGGATCGAAATCACTACATATTTTCTCAGGTCAATTCTCTAGCCTGTAGACAGTGGTCAGGCACAAAGTGAAAATGATGCCTTCAGTTAAAAATCAAGCATATTTTCTCAGGTCAATTCTCTGGGATCGAACTCACTAAATGAAAATGAAACACACACTGCTAACAGGTAAACTTAGTTTAATCTGGCACAAGGTTTCAACTCACTACATATTTGGTAGACTGCTAACAGGTGAGGATTTAATCTGGCACAAGGTTTCAAGGGTAGAGTAGACCGTGAGGATCGAACTCATAATAATCTGTGAGGTTACCCTGCTAATCATTGCTCCACGGTAAGGCGCTCCTCCGTGAAAAGGTACGATTCGCACTCCCCGTACCAGAAATCTTTTGTATTTCAACAATGATCGAAATTTTAAATCAACCTTAAAGACAATCGGTGACGTGCAGTGGTTTGGTAATGATGATGGTGATGGTGATGGTGACTAACTCCTTGATTGTATGTCCCTAAGACTTAAGTAAAAGGCGGGGGGGGAAAAGGGCATTTTAAAAAAAAATGAGAAAAAGAAGGCATTTTAAATACAGTGTAACCCGGATATAAGAGTTGTCGGGACCGGAGAAGAAGTCTCTTATATCCGGGTTTCTCTTATATCCGGGTTTGGTCTATTTTGTTTACGTTAACACAGGCTCTAATTTGGGACCAGAGAAAATCTCTCTTATATCCGGGTTTCTCTTATATCCGGGTCTCTTATATCCGGGTTACACTGTATGTAAAAACAGATGAAACATGAAATAAACACTTTATTCAAATTAAATATAAACTAAATTTTCATTTCACTCTTTCATTGGATGCCCCCCCCGATATGGATTCCCGTGGCCGTCGCGCCCTATGTATTCCTTCTGCATGCTACTGAAGACAATGTATATAATCAGTATTATGTCAACTTTATTGTATAAATATTATATTTTTAAATTATGTATTTATATGTTTTAATATTTACCATTATCCAGATTCATTATATGAGATGGTATGTGAATATTGAATAATGGTTTCTTTTAAATTGTTAATTTGATGGCTGATTATTAATAAAATTCGATCAACAAAATTCTGTCATAAACTTATGCCCAACGACAATGCACAGTGATGCTCTATAGCAGTGGATCTCAACCTTTTTTTACCCATGGACCCCTTTCCCCTTCTTTTTATCTTGGTGGACCCCTTCATAGCTATTGGACATAAGAACAATTTTCTATTCTTCACTAATATAAATTTTAAGGTTTTAATTATCAAAGAAATAGTATACGATTGAGCTTTATTTTTAAATGAAAACTAATTTAATACAAATAAAATATTCTACTATAATTATAATAATAATTATTATTACTATTTTTAATTAACACAACAATTGAGTTTTGCCTGTGGACCCCCGGAAATATTACATGGACCCCTAGGGTCCATGTAGACCCCGGTTGAGAACCACTGCTCTATAGTAATAAAAAAATTTATATGTTTAAAAAATTATTAAATAAGAAATATAATTTTTTTATATATAATTTTAATTTATGGTGATAGAAAAATAAATAAATAAATAACAAGAAGAGCAAAATTTCACCATCTCTAAAAGTAAATAGTTTGACCAACCAATCAGAATGCTTTCCCAACCATGATACAAGGTAGCGAGCCAATGAGAAACGAGCGGCCTTTTCAAAGCAGAAATAATAGATGAACCGTAAATTGATGAAATCTTGACGCTATTCTATACCTTTTCAACTTCAAAATGGACTTATTTTCAAGTAAAAAATTAATCAACTCCAAAATGGATTAATCAACTTCAAATTGAGAAAATGTCAAAAACCTAAAAACAATCAACTTCAAAATAAGAATAAACAACTTCAAATTGGAATAAACAACTCCAAATTGAGATATTTTTTTTTTTGGGGGGGTAAATTGAAAATTATTTTTTCAATTAATTTACCCCATGAGTAAGGAAATTGACTGTTCGTCTTCATTATATAGATGAAGAAAAAAACAAAATACAAACAACTTAGAGACCAAGAAAGCATTGGGTGAGCCTACAGTAAAAGTAGGAGAAAGTCCCGTATGGACAAAAATGATGATTGATGATGATGCTGGAAAAACCTCTACAAAAGAAGCTGAAGAAGAATTAGCAACAGCTCCAAAAAGGACTTATCTCAAGAAAACTGTGTCTGGCGAAAAAAGGCTCAGATTTTAGCTGCACATGCCGCAACAGGAAATTGGAAAGACCTGGCAAGAACAATTGGTGTGCCTCTGCCAACAGCGTACCGTTGGTTAGACCAGGGTGCTGATAAGAGTGACTCTAGGGGAGGAGCAAGAAAATATAAAATTACGCAAGAGCATAAGAATTTTATGGCCGAATTAATTGAAAACTCTCCTAGGGTCATTCTTCAGGACATTGTAAATAAGTTGGCCGAAAAGTATGAGGTTCGCGTGACGAAATAATGCATAAAAAAGCACTTGGACTCCATGGCCTTTACTTTAAAAGCGGTTCATTATGAATCAGACTCTGGCAATAATAATGTCAATAAGGCGAAACGTAAGGATTACGCAGTAGCTTTATTAGAATTTCAGTCCCAAAGTGTGCCAATTCTTTATATGGATGAAACCAATTTTAATCTCCATATTTCAAGAAGAGAAGGTCGCTCTAAAAAAGGCACGAGGTGCACTAGAGTCGCGGCCGGATCCAGGGGAAATAATATCCATGTTATTGGATGTATTAGTAATAATGGATTAATTCATCATAAAATTAAAAGAGGTTCTTTCAAAAAAGAGGATGCGAAAGAATGGACCAGGGAGTGCCTTAGAAAGGAAAATGAAATTTATGAAAAGGGAGTTGTCTTAGTTATTGATAACGTTCCTTGCCATACTTCAATTGAAGAAGTTGTGGAGGAGGATGAATTTAGGCAACACCAAATTTTCAGACTTGCCCCCAATAGTCCGATGTTAAATCCCATTGAAAAGGTTTGGTCAGTCATTAAAGCTGACGTAAAAAGAAGTATGGCAGACTTAATTGTTGGGATTTTAAGAGGTGATGGCCAGGGATCTTTAACTACTAAACTAAAGAATTCCGCCTCAGCAAGTTAGAAGCGATGATCTCCGAGGCAATTAATAATATTTCCCCTGAGACTTGCATTAACTTCGTATCTGGAATATAGAGATTACTTCCCTCTGTAATTAGCTTACATGATGTAGTCTTTTAAATAAATTTCTTAGGAACGTTTATATATTTTTTTATATCCCTTTTAAGTAAAAATAAAAATAAATATTAAATTTATTAGTATTATTATATTATTCTCAATTTGAAGTTGATTAATCCCATTTGACATCGATTATTTCTTATTTTGAAGTCGTTTTCCAATTTAAAGTTGATTAATCCATTTTGAAGTTGATTGATCCATTTTGAAGTTGATTAATATTTTTAACCTGAAAATAAGTCCATTTTGAAGTTGAAAAGGTATAGTACTGCGCTTAAAATTCAAAATGTCTAGATACCATAGCGAAGATCTCATCTGAATATTTAGTATGAATATTAAAAAAAAAAACTGTTCAGTATTCACATTACAAAGGCTGAAGAATTGGCAAATAGAATTTTTATGTGACTAAAACAAAAACAACAAAAAAAAACAAAAAAAAACAAAATAGCGATCCTTCACAATTTTTGAGTAAAGGTTAATTGGTAAATTTTCATTTTAACACCCGAGCGTCATTTACTGCCGAACTAATTTTTTTTTTTTAATTAGTACGCGTTTCCGTAAAGCGATTTTTTTGTACTTAATTTAAGAATAAAGTTAACTTTCAAATATATGTAAACATCGACAAATAAAAGAATAACAAAAGAAAAAAAAAAAACCTAACCCTAAGTTAACATTATTCTTTAAAAAAAAAAAAAAGAATAACAAAAAAAAAACACCTAACCCTAATTTGAATGTTCACTTTCTTTTAAAGAATAACCTTTTTAAGAATTAATATTTATTCTTTTATTTTTACTTAAAAGGGATATAAAACAATATAAACGTTCCTAAGAAATTTATTTAAAAGACTACATCATGTAAGTTAATTACAGAGGGAAGTAATCTCTGTATTCCAGATACGAAGTTAAAGAATACCCCCCCCCGCCAAAAAAACCCCCACCTAACCCTAATTTGAAAGATTACTATGAAGGGAGTAAATAGGCCCAAATTGTATAACGTCCACCGACAGGATTCAGCACTTAACTACTTATCAATAAGGCGGTAAGGGATGACAAAAAGAGCAAGAAGAAGTTCGATGTTTTTTCTGGTCGTTAACATCCGAAAAGGTAGGTTTCTTTTTAATATCTAATTGTTGATTTGAGTTCAGCATATACATTTGCACGGAAATAAGACTATTTTGGAAAAAAATGAAGGGATAATAGCGCTCGGGTGTTGAAATGAAAATTTACCGGTTAATTTTCAAATTTCTTTCATTCATTTATGTTTTACTTTTCAGGAATATATCACACAAAACATGAACGTGCTGAAGGAACGTCAGGCGGTGGAATAGAAAGTCTCCACGGTTGGAAGGGAGATAACTCTCTGTTTACTATATCTATGATATGGAACAGAGGAACATCTGTAACGACTTTACTAGGTAAAAAAAAAGTATATTTTGCTAAAGTTTGCATCTTGCTGTGTGTGTTTTTACTTTTTATCTTTACTGATTACTAGTTCATATATATATATATATATATATATATATATATATATATATATATATATATATATATATGTGTGTGTGTTTGTGTATTTAGGCAGCAATCCTTCTTTCATGCACATTTCATTGAATGAATACGACAGACAAGAAGATGCTTTGATTTAGTTTTTTATACAATTTCTCATGTGATTTAATAATTTTTTTTTTCTTTTCAGATGATAAATTATATAAAAAACTGTCCGAATATTTTTTCCAAGCGTTTTTGGCTATACATTTAGCCATTTTCAAGGATGAAATATTTTAACTGTTAAATAAGAAATAGTTTGTTGCATGTATGTATTTATTAATGTTTTCATTTTTCAAAACACGGTCAAGGTATGTCCATGTTCATAGTTGATAAGTGTTACTTTTTTTTGTTTTTATTAATAAGGCTTCCATTATTTTTATCCTTTTTTTGCATGGAGATGATGCTATGTTGTCAACAAGTATGTTACGAATAGGGTCCGGTAGGTCTCCATGAATATTTAAACGAGATCTAATTCAGCTATGGTCAGAAAGGTGTAGAGAGTGAGTCTTCGTGTCAAACATCATTGTAAAAAGGCTTAAACACTAATATTCAGTGGTTATAATTTATTACACTGGAATCGCAATTACGATCCAATTTATCAGACCTACAAATTAAAAAAGAAATCGGAAAAAATAATTCCGGGAATAAAAAATAAATTTAGCGAGACTGTATGTATGAGAGTGGGGGACGAATGTGAGGCGTAACAGAAAGTTCTAGAGAGGGGTAACAGACGATAGAAGAATATGAAGGCCTAAAAGTGAAGGTGGGGGTTAAAATTTAAGAGATATATTGAAAAGAGAAGTTAGTTAAAAAAGTGTGATTCAAATAAAGTTGAATTATTTTCCGATACATAATTTATTCTTAAATCGCTGACCTAAATTAATTTAAAAACTGACGCCGGAAATGGGTTTATACATTTGTAGTGACATTACGCACAATAATCTCTAGACTTATAAATCAGAAGATGAGAAAGAGAGAGAGAGAGAAAAGAAAAGAAAAGAAGAAAAACAAGGGGAAAGATGGATGGGGGGGGGGGCAACTAAAACCGAAGGGCAAAGAGGCGCTGTACAATCAAGAAAATTTGACAAAAGTAATAACACCTACACAGGTTACAAATTTAATATAAACATATAAAAAACAACGAATATTCTTGCAAATACCTACAATTTCTATGGCAAAAAACACATACACACATACACATATATCTATATTTCAAGCGCTTGAATTCATGGAGTCTGGGAACCAGTGAAAGCAGCTCATCGGAGCAATTACCATGAAAGTATTTGTAGAAAAGACAGAGAGAGGCGACGGCGCGTCTGTGAGAGAGTGACTGTAGGCGAGATGCCAGATCAGAGCCAATTATATTACATATCCGCCTCTGGATCTTGTCAAAAACTCCAAGGTAAACAGAAGGTGCCCCAGACCATATATGGCAGCAATACTCCATGCAAGGGCGAATGGTTGATTTGTATATATATATATATATATATATATATATATATATATATATATATAATGTTGTTCACCTTGTACAAGGCCCGAGGTAAAGGGTCACAGGGTAAGAGTTTATGTGGGTCGTTTGAGTTAGTCATTCTGATGTGTGTCCTGCTCCGCCCCACATTGTGTTGATTGATCACGGAGCTGGTAAAGATCGAGTTGTCGTCAGCAATTGTAGCGCTGGTTCGATCCCAGGCGAAACTATGTCACAAAGGAAAAATAAAAACGTTCTTGCTGACGAAATAAAAAAAGACTGGAATTTCTTCAGGGTCTATTTCGATACGGTTTATATCGTTCTCCGTAAAGAAATATTAGTTATTAACCCTTACCACTTTGAATTCTATCGTGACACTCTGTTCAATTTATCTAAGTCTGGTACAAGGCTTAAGTCGGAAGTTCTCTCTGGCAGCAAGTCATATGGGATTCGGCAGAGTACTCGTCTCTCGTCGTCTGCACCCCAACTGAAAACTCTTGGTCGCTTCAGTGTTCTGCTTATATTGACTTTCACCCAAAACTGGCATGGGGGTCGACGTTGTTAGAGGACCCGGAGATTTCACAATTTTCTTACAAAAGCCCTTTGTTGTCTGACGCTGGAAAATTAATTATATCTCCAAGTTTGGGGTGATCCCTTTTCCTATTGGCAGTGGTCACAGGCATCGATCCGCCCCGATAACTCCTTCCTTCTTTTATTTGTGCCTCGTACGAACGCTTCCCAATGGGCGTTGGCAATTGCTCCGTCCTTTTTGGCATTTCACCTACGCCTGTCACGTCTGTTGCCTGTCTGGCTCTCAAACTGCTTAATTTCTGGTCATTAATTAGAATTATCATTTTAATTTCTCGTCAGCAATTTTTTCCCATTCTGGTCTTGTTTATACAATTAGAAATTTACCTGCTGTTTCCTTCGGTTAGTTTATCTCCTCATCTTGTTAGGGTCATCGCATTTTAAGAACCCAGGATTGGGTCCTTACATAAAGGAATTCTATTTTCTCGACTTGTTTACCATTTCCACTTTTTGATAGACAAAATGAATCAGTTTTTTTTTTTATTCTGCCTTGTCTTTAAAAATTAACAAATATTATCTCTTCAATCGACTTCTTTTCCCGGCTGATTCGTAGGAACTGTTTTTTTAACTTTCACTTTAAGGCAGCGCCATCAATTATTAACCCAGCCATACCAAATGACCTCTGTGGTAATATCTTTTCAACAAAATTACCTTCCTCAAGCCGGTCTCTGCTTAAAAATATACTTTTCGATTCTTTCTCTCAGTCTGTCTATCGTTCAATTTTTTTTTAACCCTTTTCGTTTTGTTCCAATCTATATTTTAGTTTTAACCCTTTTCTTTCCGTTTACCAGTGTCACAAATCATGTTTTATCAAGTTTTTATTCTTGTATACAGGCATTTTCTTAATATTGCTAAATGTCCTTTGTGTATGAATTGATAGATTAAAAAGTATCTCAATTTTCTGAAAACAGAGTATTCGTTTTGCGTTAAGACACTTAAATCTATGAAAACTGTGCATATAGATCCGTTATTTGTTGACTGAGCAGGCAGTGCTACATTTAGTTGAAATTTATAAAATCTTTTTCTCAAATGGTTTTTCAGGAAAATAGGTTTTTCAAGTCCACTGTTATCACGCTTTCTAAAACTGATTGGGTTTCCTTACTAAGCTTTTGTTTAGAGTTTTTCTTTTTTAATCAACCCAAGCAAAGCAATAATGTCACTAGGATACAGGGGTTATAAGGAATGAAAAGAAATGTGAAAACTTTAGGGATGAGAAAATACAATAAAAGAACAGGATTTAGGAAGACAGAATATGGCGAATGACGTTGTATTTAGATTTTTGAAGAAAGCAAGAAACAGGCGAGAAAAGAAACAATTAGAATAGAACTTTACATGTAGACAGTTCAACAGTAAAATATTGAGACCTATTTGCAAATCTAGTAGTCTGCTTAAATTTACATGGTGCCAAGGAGGAGAGTTCATTAGAACAACCGTTCTCGGTATGGCAATAAACTACATCCGACAACAAACCTTCTGATCAGGAGGTTTTGAGGAGGTTGTTTCAAACCTCTTAAATGCTGTTTTTTCCAAGTTCTCCCTGACCCGGGGTTGTAGCACCTGTTAGGGTCTCAGCTATGGGCAAATAGTTAATCCCCAATCTAGAATCAAAACACTATGCAAGTATAAAAAAAAAATATAGTAAAAATACCAGCAATGTATTTTCATAGTAAAAAAAAAAAGTACCAGCAATACATTTTTCGTAAAAAATGAAAAAATACCAACAATACATTTTTGTAAAAGAAATTACTAATGCTCCTAAGAAAATTAAATTTCGGCATTAAATGACCCATAGAGGAGTTTATATGCCGTTAAACAAAAAAATCATTAAAACAACTGCCATGAAAAAATATATAAAAAAAGACAGAAGGAAGCCACATAACGACAGTGAGCAAAAGTCGAGATGCCAGATCAAGACCGGATTACATTGCAGAGTCGTGTGGCAAATCAACATCTTGAAAATATCATTATTATCTCTTCGAGTTACACATACTGTCTGTTTTAGCTGTTGTTGCTGCTGCTAATGGAAGTTTTCAAGTGATGTGATTTCTTTTATTTGGTAAATACTGAAAAGCAATATTAGACATTGTTTAAGCTATTGATTTTGTTTATTTTGATCACAATCTATCTTGCAAGTAAGGCACCGAATAAGACGTGGGTAGATTGCTTTTGGAAAATATAAGGTATGCTGAAATACCATTACATATTAAAACAAAGATATACCTTATAGGCATTCTTCCCGTTCTTTACCTGATTCAGATTGTGTGACATTGACTCAAAAACTTTTCTGCTCAAATTTGAAACATTTAAAAACCATATGATGCGTATCATTGCAGATCACAAAACTGATAGACAAAATGAAAACAACTACTCTTAGAAATGGAACCAATTTGCTTCCATTCTTCGATACCATCCTTAGCAAATCCTAGAAAATTGCACAAATTAAAATCGGTATCTCCAAAAATTTCTAGATAAGAGCATAGCATGATGAAAAAGGCCCAAAGTTTTATCGTCAAAATATTTGTTATTAAGATGAACTAATTTTAAAGCCGCCCTATTGGGCTGTATTTAAATTATTTCGTGTGGAGGGCTTTTGATTGGGCCTTCATCACAATTTGATTTGTTTATGCTAAGTCTCGAAAAATCAAAATATAAAATTCACTATTTTTTTATCCATAATGTTGAATGTGTTAAAATTATTCAACTTTTTAACAAGTAAAATTCAAAATTGATGTTAAAAATTGCCGCAAAACATTGTTGATTTATTTAACATGGAATGATATATTATTACATCTCTAATTTCTATTTAGATAGATTGTATTTATTTTCAATTTTTCTAGTTGAATTGTTCACCTATATTGCATATGATCCCTCAGTGTATATAATTGTTACAATCAAATTTGTATTTTATATGAATACAACTTTATGAAAATTGAGATGTAGTAGAGTCATGGGCCTTGTATCATAGATTTGTGGTATCGGGGAACCATGGAACCCTTGCACCAGCACTGTTGGTTAGCAGAAGTTCTTTGGCAGACAAGTGTAGAAATCTTACAAATTACTATTATTTATTTTACTCGCAACTCTCAGGAATGTGAGTTGAAATCTCATCAAAGAGTCTGCATTACTTATTAACGATCGTAGAATGACAACCTGGGTGTTGCAAGTTACGATTTAAAAAAATACAGTAGTAAGATGAAAAAAATCTAGTCTAAAAATCAACAACAATTGACAATGCTCATCTAAAAATTCACACAATTTAAAGCGTAACGATAAGTGAAATTAAAATGAAAGAAATCCCAGTCAAAATTAATAATAATGATAAAACGTCGGAAGTTTATAATTTTAAAAAAAATTAATTTCCAGAGCCTGTCAACAATGATGGCACCGTCGGGAGACTCCGTTTTTAAATATTTACTCCGGTCTCCCTGTTAAACAATGGTCGTCCCTTGCGTCTGCCAGTTTTTGTTTAATAAGGTTTTCCTTGTAAATGAATTATTGAACTTTCTCCCTTAAGAGATGCCGAGTGGAAATACTTCAGTCCGCGTGCATTTTGATAACCGTTTTACCATTTCAGACCATGGTTCCATTGAATTATTGCGGAGATAACATTTTCATCGAATCGGGGTTCATTTACAAGTATAGCATTTACCTAAAATGAGTTAACGTTGGTCCGAAATCACGCCTCTGTTGTAAATAGCTGGTTTGAATTCGAAGAATTATGCTCTGGGGTTAACATTTTGGGGCTGTTTTTGAAATCCTTCTGTTTCTCTGAAGTTAAAGATCTAAGTGTCCAGGTATTAAGATATTTAGTTTGATAGATCTGTAACGGTCATAGAATAGATGTAAATACCACCTTAAAATTTTCGACAAAAAACAAGACAAATAAGATGAAAGAAATAGTAGTGCAAAACAAATAAAGATGACAACGCTTCAAAAAAAAAATTAATTACATTTTGTTTTTCTTTTCAGGTATCAGACGTTATAATATTGATGAAGGAATGTGTATTTTGTGGACTGATTTTGCGTTAATCGTTGCTCAAGATACTTGCACTACTTCTTGGCAGTTTTGTATTTTCAGTTCTTACAACACATGGAAGAAATTGTGGTAAAGTTTTTCTTGATCAAAATCACAAATTCAGGAGAGAAATAAATAAATAAAATGCTTAGTAGCCATTTTGAAATTTTGTGAAAATGATCAAATTAAAATGGATAGTTTGCTGTCTTTTCGTTAAGTCCCTTTATTACTGAATTGATCTCCGTAATTCACCCTGTTCACTTCCCCGGAATGTCCATAATTCAAAGAAAAATAAACACTTTGGAAGATAGATCCTGGTGGTGAAAAAAGGTAATTCAGATCAACTATTATCTTTCTAGTCCAACTTGCTATCTGCTTTTTCCTTGGTTCATTTTATCGTCTGCTTGTTTGAAAATTGTGTATGACCCAAATGCAACAAATCACAAAGAAGTGTAGCAAATTGTAGATCTTTTAATTAAAATAGAAAATATTTGAATCTCCAAAACCAATCTTTGTTGATTCCAGTAACCTTACATAAAAGATAAAAAAAGCGAAATGTAATCCATTTATGATTGGAACTTAATACCATTTTATCCTTCCACTTTTGAACAGATTTTATAACCGAAAAGCATGTACAAATTTAAAATAAAGAACTTGAGAAAATGATTTTTCATCGCTTTCTTTATTTAAACATTTCTAGATGAAAGGAAGTTTTTATTAATATCTTTGTAATGTCTTCATTTGTATTTTTCCTGGGCCCATTCTCAGGTAGGGGCTAAATACTTGAGTAGACTGGACTGTCTTATCTTGGGTGGCAATTAGTCCCAGAGAAGTAAGACTCTGAATTTCCAAACCGGAGAAGGCAATAGAAGACCCCCTCCACTATCTTTCTTCCCCCCCCCCAAAAAAAAATGCCAAGTCACAGGTAATAAAGAAAAATCATTGGAAAATCATGATTGTCTATGTTTTTAAAGGGACGTAACCTTTAAAAAATGATGAAAGAAATTTTCTTCTTCAGATAAATGTATCTTATTCTGAGAGTTTTTAGTCCTGCGGAAAGTTGAGGGGGCGGGTGAAAATTTGGCCTTGTAAAAATATTCAACACGTCCACAAAGAAAAAAAAAGGAAAGGAAAAAAAGAAAACAGATAAAGCGTAAATACAAGATTTTATATTCCAGAAAGCTTGAGACATTTTAAAATAACTATTTATACTATTTACATTGTTCGGGCTGTTATCCTCATCTTTATTGTCATATTCACGACGTTTTGGCCGCTCTACACTCCGGCCTTCTTCAGGTGATATAAATTGGAATTTTGAACTGAACCCTTTATTTAGTCCACTGAGGTAAATTGTTCTAGTTCCATGTGTCATTCTTTTTCTGGATATATCAGTTTCAGTTAATTCCCTTTTTAGTAACCCATCTCTCCAAGTTTTTGTTCATGCCTGCTGTGGCCAGGTATTGAACTCACAACTCTTTGGGTCAAGTCACTTTCAAAGAACATTTTTTATGCAAAACTGATTATTCCTGTTTACACTATTTTAATTGTTTGGATTGTTGTCCTCATCTTTATTGTCACATTCACGACATTTCAGCCATTATACTTTCTGGCCTTCTTCAGGTGATATATGTTGAAATTTTGAACAGAATTCTTTATTTACTCCACAAGGGTACATTGTTCTAGTTCCACACCTTTTCTGGTTATCTCAGTTATTTTCCTTTAGTAACGCAACTCTCCCAGTTTTTGTTCACCTCTGCAGTGGCCATGTATTGAACTCACAACTCTTTGGCTCAAGTCACTGGATTACTTCAACGCTTTTATCCACTGGGTTATGAGGACAACAGTTCGAACAATGTAAACAGTGTAGTTACAGAAATATAGAGAGATGTTTTAAAATAAGTTGTTTCTTCTTATAAAAACAGTTTTTGCATTACAGAAATAAGACAAAGACATTAGGAAGATTTCTTAATGACTCCTCTTACTACTTTATCTCAAACTTCAACGTTGACTGTTTTTTGGATTGACTACTTGATACCTTGTCCTTTATTTATACCTGGCACACAGACGTAGTAGAAGATAAATGAATACATGTGAATTTTTAACAAAAAAAAACAAAAAAAACTTAAACTCTATTACAATGTGTGCTACTTGAAGAGTATAGAATCTCTAATAACTATACAAGCTTAAAAGCTGAAATCTTACAGATTAATAATGTGTTGTATATTTTAAATACTGTATAATTTTTATCTTTCTCCATGAATTATGAGTTAATTAAATTTTATCAAGTTTGTATCCACTCAGTAAGGATATCGTATCTTAATAATTTTCAATGAAAGGTGGTTTTTATTTGGTCTGAAACTGATTAATTAATAGACTATGCTCTAATAATATGTATATTAAAATTTGAATCTGTCTAATTTGTTCATTTTACTTACTTTATATATATTTTAAAGTTTTTCATCACAAACACTACAAACTTATGCTTATAAACTGGTCTGTGGGCAATGTCCTGTTGTCATGGTAATTTTCACTGACTTATTCTGTTTTATGTAGCTTTAATGTTATCAACAAAATCTGTTGAATTTTCTTTTTCTTTCATATCATTAAAATAAAATACTACAGTCACTCCAGTAAGCTTGGATGTGCGGGTGGTGTAATGACAAAGAGATAGCTCGATAGCTATACCGAGAGAGATGTGATACTTTAAGGGTTGAAAGGATAGATCGATAGCTATACCAAGAGACAAGGCAAGATTTATTAAATTCATATGGTTTATTTTTTTCATCCTTGGATAAGGACAGAGGGGAAAGAGAGAAACATTTGATTTTTCCTACAAAAAACTATATAGCTGAAGTTGACAACTGACTGTGAAATGGAGACATTATTGTTTTTAAAATCCATGTTAAGGAATTGTCTGCAGGCCATAACCCAGTGGGAAAAAATTGGTCATGAGGTAATATTTAAGATGTTCTGGAAACAAATGCAGAGTTAGAGAATTGTTCCTTTTTTTATCAAGAAGAAGAAGGAAAGGTGTGAATCACTATAGCAGTGAAATTTCTTTAGATAAAAACTGAAATGGAGACATTGTTGATAATTACTATTTAAAATACAGGTTATGGAATTGTCTACAGGCCACAACCTGGTGAGGAAAAATCAGCCGAGAGATAATATTTAAGGTTTTCTGAAGACAAAAGCAGAATTGGAGAATTGTTTTTCTTTTATCACTTGTCAAAAAGGGAGGGGAAGTGCAAATCATTGAAGAGATGAGATTTCTTTGGATAAGTGCCAAAGTGCCACAAGAAACAGAAAACAGCCTCTGTCAGAGGTAACAGCTGAAGAATGCCTGATTGAGAAAGTGGAAGGGGTCAGGGAATTCTATTGATGAAAATTTTGGACATTAATTAAAATTAATAATTGGAGCTAAGCCATACCTGCTTGCCCATACAGTCCAGAGATCAGATTGGTCAGGTAACCATAGAAGTGAAAGGTCTAAATGGAATATCAAAGGCAGCAGAGGAATTGCTTACACCCTTTGAGCAGTATTGGTATGAGGCACCAATATGAGAAGGAAGGAGTTGGGGTGGATTGATATTCTGCCACCACTACTCCTCAGAGGAGGAATCTATCCAAAATTGGGCATGCAATTAATTTCATAGAGTCAAACAAACAAAGAACTATCTGTGGAGATTAAGGGAATAGCTGAAATCCCAAACCACATCAGACCCCACGCCGATTTTGGACAGAGGTTCATATAAACAGAGAATCAAAATGATCAAAAAGAGAAGCCGCCAGATGCCAGGTGAGAGACAACAGCTTTACTGGACTGACGTGACTTCCTGTTGTTGATGAAGACCTCCAATTTTAAGCTGTGTTCCAGAAGCCTTGTCTAGACTTAATCATGATGAACAAAGTGTCATGAAATATTTGAAGAGGGAAGGGTCGAATAACTTTGCATGACAAATATATTTCTGCATGAAGAATATATATTCCTACCTGAAGAACTGATATTGTACTACAAGATCTGTACAAGAAACGGCACATAAAACATTTTCTTTATTACAATTTATCCTATGCTTTGTCCAGATCAATTCAACTATTCCTGTTGACAATTGATCCTCGCCAGCCTTGTGATCTAAATCAAAGACAACATAGGTCAAGGCAAAGCTTAGATCGAAGTGATTCATTCAACGATCAGTTGCAGGGATTGAACATTGAACGGACCAGCTGGCCAAACATCACAACATCATAGAATCAAAACAAATAAATTGAATAAAGAAAGTAACAATAAATAAAAGTGTTTAAGTATCTGTCTATATTTCTCAGATGAGGTATTGTAACTATTTACATTGTTCGGACTATTGTCCTCATCTTTATTGACATATTCACAATGTTTCAACCATTGTGTTCTCTGGCCTTCTTCAGGTGATATACACTGGAATTTTGAACCAAGGACATATGGCCCAGTGGATAAAAGGGTTGGTTGACATAATCCAGTGACTTGGCCCACTGAGTTGTGAGTTCAATACCTGACCTCAAAAAAAGGACAATTGAGTTACTAAAGAGAAATAACTGAAACTGATCTATCCAGAAAAGGCATGGTATGTGGAACTAGAACAATCTACCCCTGTTGACCAAATAAAGGGTTTAGTTCAGAACTCCAACGTATATCACCTAAAGAAGACCAGAGTACACAACAGTCAAAATGTTGTGAATATGACAATAAAGATGAGAACAACAGTCTGAACAATGTAAATAGTGTAAATGTTTACAGTATGCAAAGCAATGTAGAGAATATTACAAAAATAAAAATTAAAAATTACTGAACTAATGCAGAGAATATAGAGCCAATTTTTTAATTTGTTTTTTCATTATTTATTGTTCCATACACAACTGTAGAGCATAAACATTTAGAAATAAATAAAAAAAAATGTTATTAATGGTGCAAAAATGACCTTAAAGCTATCTGATGCTGGTTGACACAAACTCATTACATGCATAATATTGCTGAAATAGCAGTCTCGTGCAACTTCTCACTTGCTGGCCAGAACCCAATCATTAAGTGACGGGTAACTGTATTTCCATTAAAATATTACT